ATATATTTTAATCAAAATATATTTTTTGGTCAATACGGTAACTAAAAGTATTATAATAAATAATTATATTAAAAAAATTAAATCTTATAATGATTATTTTTTAATGATGCTAAATTAAATATTTTAATTATTTTACAATAAATTAAAATGAAAAGATAATAAAATATGTTAACTGATGTTTCAAATAAAATGTTTTACCTACGAAATTTATCTATGGGTGAAGTTATCTACGGAAAAATCTGTAGATAAGTTATCTACGGAAAAATCCGTAGATATATCTACAGAAATTTTCGAAGATAAGTAAATGATATCTTCGGAAATAATTCCGTAAGTAACATTTCGTAGATAACTAAAAATTATCTACGGAAAAAATTTCGTAGATAATATTCCGTAGATAACTAAACATTATGTACGGAAAAAATTTCGTAAATAATATTTCGTAGATAATAATTTTTCTTGTAGTGATATTCCCCACTAATTTAAAATTTAAATATGGAAAATGATGAAATATATGTATAAAAAACTTAAACATTTTTAATAGAGCATGATATATTATATTTTCAGTACAAGGAATCTTTCGGGTTTGAGTCTTATACCTAGTACATATGAATTTTCAAGTTCTATCTAAGAGAATATGGAGGCATAATTGTCTTGAGCCATATCCTTTTTGACTAAATTTTAGAACATAACACGTATAATATAGGTGTTCATTTAAGTTCTAATCAACGGAATGCATTACGGTTTTACGCATATATCTTGTTTCGTGAGCGTCACTTAGAGATTGTCCATATCTCATAGTAGCGGCCCCACCACCACACTCACCAGGTGAACCCTTCCAAGGGTGGTCTGTGACACCCACCCTTACAACAATTATCATTGGGTCCATTAAGATGTATTTTTAATTTTTAACACAATAAACATAAATATTAACCTTATTACTGTCACAATTTAATTTAGAGTACATCTTGCCATAGAAATGAAACATGCAATAATTTTGTAGTTTACAATGGTGTACTTCAGGTAACAAACAATTTCGTTATTACCCATTAAACTCCATTCATGGGATTGCAATTTATGTGGAGAAGGGTATCCATTGTTGCAACTAGTTGATGGACTTTAGTCCCATTCCCCTTGATGATTCAAGTACTTATTGATGCATCAACCCTTTTGTGAGTGGATTTGCAAGATTATTTTCAGACATGATAAAATCAACAAAAATAACACCATGAGTTATCAAATTTCTGATAGACTTGTGTCTTATTCTTAAGTGCCTTCTTTTTTCATTTAAGTTTTTGCTAGTAACTTTAACAATAGCAACTTGACTATCACAATGCATTGAGATTGGAGGTATAGGTTTATTTAATAAAGGTAAATCATATAATAAATTTTAAAGAAATTTGGCCTCACTACTAGTAGTATCTAAGGCAATTATTTCAGTTTTCATAGTAAAATGAGAAATAATAGTTTGTTTTGCAATTTTTCAAGCTATTGCACCTCCAGTTAAAGTAAAGATATAACTACTAGTAGATTTAGTTTCATCGGAGTCAGAAATTGAATTTTCATCACTAAAACCTTCAATTATAGTAGGATAACATGCATAGTGAATGCCATAATTAATAGTTCCTTTAAGATATTTAAATAACTTTTCTAGAGCAAGCCAATGTGAATGATCAGGATTATGAGTATATCTTTCTAACCTACTAATAACATATGCAATGTTATTAGTGTAGAGTAATTAGAAAAATGCAACAAGGAACCAACAATTTGAGAGTATTTAAGAGGAGAGATACTTTCACCAATATTTTTCTTCAATTTTATATTAGAATCAATTGGGATAAAAAAAAATTTCACGTCAAAATAATTAAAATTTTTTTAACAATTTTTAAATATAATGTGATTGTGTCAAAACAATACCATCATGATTCTTAATTAACTTAATGCCTAAAATAACATCAACAAGGCCAAGATCCTAAATTTCAAAATTACTAGACAAGAAAGACTTCACATCATTTATAACATGTAGATTACTACCAAAGATTAAAATATTATCTACATAAAGACATAAAATAATACATGAATTATCATGAAATTGTTTCACATGAACACATTTATCGCTATTATTGAACCAAAATAACTTGTATGATGAAACAACTTGATCAAATTTATCATGTCATTGTTTAGCATTACTAGAAAAACATTATTCCACGTCAACAATTTTACATCGATTTTGTCAAAAACGATGTAAAATTAAAATACAGTGGCAATTTTGTAATTAAATATGAAATTTTAACATATTTACATTGGTTTTGAGTGGAACGATGTAAATGAGTACTATTTTACATCAGTCTTTGAAGTAACCAATGTAATATTATCTTCATCAAGGCAAAAAAAATTGCGCTTTTCTCCTCTCACACAAAGTCACGCGGATTCTCCTGTCTTCATCGCCTCTTGTAAACGCAGACACCGAAACTGAAACCCTATTCTTCATGTTTGAATCATTCTTCTCACGCTCAAGATCCATTCTCCTCACATCTAAACCCTATTCGAAGCCCCATTACTTGTCTGTGGTAAAGTCGATCGAAATAGTGAAGCAACCGCATGGAAGACGAAGCCCCTTCCTCCCAAGTCGCATCGCCGCTACACTATCACTCTCCTCCCTGGCGACGACATCGGCCCCAAAGTCATCTCTATCGCCAAAGACATTCTTCTCCTTGTTGGTTCCCTAGAAGGTAACCCTCTAATCGCAACATTTTTATTTTCTATTAGTGCTTGTTGAACCAGGGATAAAAATGAGAAATAGCTCAAGCCAAAGATTGGTTTGCTTCAGATTCGGGAAGGGCTTTGAGTATTTGCAAATCTAAGATCGGCTACTATATTTCCTCAGGTAACAATTTATTTGTGTTGCATTTTCTCATTCGTGATGGTGAAACTGAAATACAATTGAGGGCAAACGTAATTTCTGTCTATCTGTTGTGTGATTTTAGTTGTGTTATTTCTTCTATAGTTAGTGGATGCTTCAACTCTGAAGAGAGAGATTGCTGAAAGGGTTGATCTCATGGTTGTGAGGGAACTCACTAGAGGTCTATTGTGTTATGGTTTCCTAATGTCCCTAGGATAGTTAAATTTTGAAATGTTAATTCTCCATCCATTTTCTTTAACTGTGGCCATGTGTAGCTAATTCACTAGACTAAGTCTTGTTGTTGTTTAGGTATATATTTTGGAAAACCCAAGGGCTTTGGCACCAATGAAAATGGTGGATTGATTGGCTACAATATTGAGATTTATGCCGCACATGAGGTATCTTACTATTATATAAGGGTTTTATAGATAAATAATGCATGCCCAACTGGTGAGCAATAAAAGTATATGAATTACAATAAATTTATGAAGGTTGATGAACTTGGTTGAATATTTCTGGGAAAGAGAATTTGTGTGGAGTTTCTTGTACAATCATTCTGAATGATTTGATCGACTAATGCCTAGTTATGAAAATTAAAAAATATCTCTAATTTGACTAAAAATTGTAGTTGCATCAGTTGGGATTTTCTTAAGATCTTTAGTTGAAACAGTGAATGTTTTGTTAGGAGGAGTTAAGAGAGATGGAAGGGGAAGTTAGTTGAGATAGTTAGGATATCAATTAGTTGGTTAACACATTAGGCAAGTAAATAAAGGAATGTAAGGGAAGGGGATTCATTCAGTCTTGTATCATTTCATAATTGAGCTGTTATATGTGGAAGGAGACATCTTTTGCAAAGAGGAAATCACTGGAGGAGAGATATCCCTCATTTGTTGTGTCAATTCATTCAACTCAATAAAATATTTTTCTTTTAACAATTTCTAGTCTAGTTTCATAACACATTGTCTAGGAGGAAGGATAAGGAAGTGTACTTTATGTAGATGTGAAATTCACTTTTTCTTTCCCTCTGAAGAGACTTTTTGTTTTATTATGGAGTTGTATCTTTTATCTAATTTTTGTATTAACTCTAGATGTATGATTCTCTGATTAATAATAATTTGTATATCAAATTGATTGCATAGCTCGTTTTGCATTTAAGATTGCTCAAAAGCATAGTGGGAAACTTTGCTCTGTTGACAAAGCCATTGTACTAGAGGTATGTATTGTTTGATTAATCCACAAAACTCATTCAGGTATAGGAAGAAAAAAAAAAGTTCATTGCAGATGCCTTCCAACTGAATATGATATTTGTAGACACCCAATTTCGTCCGGGGGACTTACAAACAAGGGAATGGACCTCTTTTTTTGAAGGGAAGGAGCTCTCGAAGCATGCAAGCTAAAGGATAGGACATCAGAGGGCCCAAAATCCCAAATCAACTTTTTAGTGGCCCGGAACGGGCCGTTCCAGAATTAGAACGGGCCGTTTCCAAGTCCAGAACGGGCCGTTTTAGATTTGGAACGGGTTGTTCCAAGTTTTTAAAAAAGGGCAAAAAACCTAAATTGGAACGGGTCGTTCCAAAATCGGAACAGACCGTTCCAAACCTAAAAAAGGTGTTAAAATCCTTAAATCGGAACGGGTCATTCCTAAATTGGAACGGGCCGTTCTGGTATATTAAAAGGGGCCCAAAATTTGTACCCAGAACGGGCCGTTCTCATTTCAGAACCAACTTGTCAACCTTGTTACCCAATAGAGTACGCAATCAATGCTCAACTGCTCTAAAGGGTGAAGATACGAGTAAATACACCTGTCCAAGGGAAGCAACGTAGAAGCATCAACACAGAGACGAGAAGAAGACCCGAACGAAATGTCTACGTCTTTACTTGCCTTTGGAAAAGCAACACAACTATTCCAAAGGACAAGTAAAGAGGGGCAGCTGTAGACACCCAATTTCGTCCGGGGGGCTTACAAACAAGGAAATGGACCTCTGTTTTTGAAGGGAAGGAGCTCCCGAAGCATGCAAGCTAAAGGATAGGACATCAGAGGGCCCAAAAGCCCAAATCAACTTTTTAGTGGCCCGGAACGGGCCGTTCCAGAATTAGAACGGGCCGTTTCCAAGTCCGGAATGGGTCGTTCTAGATTTGGAACGGGTCGTTCCAAGTTTTTAAAAAAGGGCAAAAAACCTAAATTGGAACGGGCCATTCCAAAATTGGAACGGACTGTTCCAAACCTAAAAAAGGTGTTAAAATCCTTAAATCGGAACGGGTCATTCCTAAATTGGAACGGGCCGTTCTGGTATATTAAAAGGGGCCCAAAATTTGTACCCAGAACGGGCCGTTCTCATTTCAGAACTGGCCTTTCTGGTTCCCCGGAACGGGCCGTTCCGATTTCAGAACGGGTCGTTCTGGGGTACAAAAATAAGGCTCAACGGCCAGATCCAGAACGGGCCGTTCTGATTTTGGAATGGCCCGTTTTGGACCCTTTATGAAGTCTCGAGTAAATACACCTGTCCAAGGGAAGCAACGTAGAAGCATCAACACAGAGACGAGAAGAAGACCCGAACGAAATGTCTACGTCTTTACTTGCCTTTGGAAAAGCAACACAACTATTCCAAAGGACAAGTAAAGAGGGGCAGCTGTAGACACCCAATTTCGTCCGGGGGGCTTACAAACAAGGAAATGGACCTCTGTTTTTGAAGGGAAGGAGCTCCCGAAGCATGCAAGCTAAAGGATAGGACATCAGAGGGCCCAAAAGCCCAAATCAACTTTTTAGTGGCCCGGAACGGGCCGTTCCAGAATTAGAACGGGCCGTTTCCAAGTCCGGAATGGGTCGTTCTAGATTTGGAACGGGTCGTTCCAAGTTTTTAAAAAAGGGCAAAAAACCTAAATTGGAACGGGCCATTCCAAAATTGGAACGGACTGTTCCAAACCTAAAAAAGGTGTTAAAATCCTTAAATCGGAACGGGTCATTCCTAAATTGGAACGGGCCGTTCTGGTATATTAAAAGGGGCCCAAAATTTGTACCCAGAACGGGCCGTTCTCATTTCAGAACTGGCCTTTCTGGTTCCCCGGAACGGGCCGTTCCGATTTCAGAACGGGTCGTTCTGGGGTACAAAAATAAGGCTCAACGGCCAGATCCAGAACGGGCCGTTCTGATTTTGGAATGGCCCGTTTTGGACCCTTTATGAAGTCTATAAATAGACTGCTTGGGCTCATTTCTCAAGGATTCCAAAATTTCGTCCAGACTCCTTAGAGCACTAAATTTCTCTCTTTTTCTCTCTCTCCCTCCCTTTTGTATTTCTTGAGATTTTTGTGAGGCATTGTAGTGTGAAGGGTTGCTACAAAGCACCTAAAATCTTCCTGTTTTGAAGATTCAATTCAATAGAGCTCATTCAAGAGGTATTTCAGTTAATCTTTTTCTCCTTTTTTATTTATTTCTTCTCTATAATAAATATTGTTATAATAAAAATAATCATGTAGACATTTTAGGATTAATTGCAGAATTTAAATTTCAAGCATGTAAATAATTACTAATAAAAGGGGATTTAATATTTATATTATTATCATTTATAATGTTAACTTCATCATAGGGTATCAATTAAGGGCGTTGTAGGGGTGCTTAATACCTTCCCTGCACGTAATCGACCCCCGAACCCAATTCTGGTTATCAAGGCCATTATTGGACTTTTAAAAAACCTTTTCTTTTTCCAATGTTTTGAGTAAAACATTGGTGGCGACTCCATGAACTCATTTTTCAAGACCATTAATTAAGGATTAGTTTGGTGTCCAGACATTCCTTAATTGATGAGACTTTTAAAAGGATGTCTAAACCATAGGTCGCGAGATCGGAAATTTTCGGGTTGTGACAATATTGTTATAGTTGTTTGATATGTTAAGAATATTAGTGCTGATCTACACTTAAATTTTCTAATTTTAGAATTGAGTTGCATGCCTCAAATTTTGTAAACTTGAAATTGGAAGATTCAATCATGCTGTAAGGAAATGCCTCACTTGTTTTGTGTTGTTTAAGATTATGTTTAGATTAGGCGTTTCAAATATCTTCTGAGACAACTTTAGTATAAGATGTGGTTATTCTTTTTGTTAACATTTTTATATTTCACCAAAATTCACATTTCTGTTGACCTACATTTGTAAACAATTTATAAGCTTGGAAACATAATAGTTATTAACTCAAATTTTGTATGTATTTTTTGTAACTTGATAGTCACTCTGTCCAAGATTTGATGACTTCTTTTCTAAAGCATAATGTAATAAATTTAAAATTATATGATTTATCTTTCTTTGCTTGTCTAAAATCATATATGAGGATTCCATTCATAACTAACCTATGCTGGGAATATATCTTGGATTCATTTTTCTACTGTTAATTCAAAGAAAACTTATCAATGCTGGATGAAAAACATCGTGATGTCATGCTTATACCATTTTAAAATTATTAAGAGTGAACAATGATAATAATACAAATATGCAATAATTGGAAGTCAAAACTCTAAAGGAATATGAGAGAACCAATAGCTTAATAGGAAATTGATTTCAACAAAATTACCACACAAACCTGTGAATCAAGTAAGTAAACAACGCAAACATTTTTCTATTTCAAATGTTCCACAAAATTCTTAAATTTGATTGATCACAATTGGTCAAGTTAGTGCAACCACCAAATTTTATAAACAATTTTGAGAAACTCTTCAACATTATAGAAACTGGTCATATTTACTTGATATTTTGAAATTCTTTTAATAAATGTGATTCCTTGGACCTTATTCTCTCTAGATTGAAAAGTTTCATTTTATGTAAAAATTACCATTGTTCTTATAATGATTCATTGGACACAGGTTCATTGAAGGTAAAACTTGGTTGAAAGACACACCTAAAAATTACTCATGGAGCAGCTAAAGGGCTTGCTTATCTCCATCATGACTGCAACCCACACTACAAGAATGCACGAAAATAGCGTTGGCCACACAGCGTCGGATGTGGAG